TACAGCCAATACAAGGTGAAATCTGAGCCTAGGATTTTCTCCGTCGACTCCTTTCCTATTTACTGTTTACATCACTCAGAATTCATGGCAGCTCTGCGACCCCCACAGAGGCTGTAATGAGCTTTAAATCCTCCTATAATCATATCAATAAAAGCTAGTGGCTGCACTGAGCCCATGTCCACCCTCGCAGAGATTATTTTAATATGGTTGTGCTGCATTCAAAAGTCCATCACTTCCTCTGCGGCTCCATGTTGTCCTCATGTTCACGTCTGACTGCCCTGCTGCCCCATAAGGCCGTGCAGTTAGACAGGATCATCTGTCCAAACCTTTCAGCAGCCATTTGTCTTACCATCAAGAAGTCAGAGTGTTCACTTACTAAGTTCTTTTTAAGTGGTTTAGTGGTTCGGCACAAAGCAGTCTGCAAAGAACCCGTTAATGAGCTGCCAAGTCGGAATAACAACAGTCTGAAAATGAAAATATTCTAAGACACAAACCCATCTGATGGCTTTAAGTAAATTAGTTTCAACCGGAATTGCAATTACTGTCATTTCAGAAACTCATTTATTTCTTATGGCTGCTGTGCAAAAGCAGCCTTCTGGTTTTCCAGTGACGATGATCAAATTAGCTGGTAAAGAAATCCCAGGGGAAGTCTTGACTGGCTGCCAAGCACAACACACAGATGTTGCCTTTTTAATAGTATCAAATTATACCTGGATAATCTGGAAGTTTCACGTGTAACACCTTGGTGGGATTTTTCTGCCGATGATAACAAAAAAGTTTCAGATTTTTTTTTTTTAATTCATCTTAATTTATGAAACTGGCCCATAAGCTGCTCTACAGGCACAAGACAGCTATCTAAAGCCAACATGTTTCAACAGCAGCTGGAACAGCTCTTTGAAGCGGGGACTTAACTTGCAAATGAAGGAAAGACCTCAACTCAACCTACATGAATCAGATACAGGGGATAGGAGACGGCAGAACGGTGAAGAGATGTGAAAGAGTGATCTTATCTTGGCTACGGTGTGTCAGAAACTGAGTGCTGCTTTGATTGGTCACTTCAATTCAACCTCACACATTTGAGACAACGCATTCATGGTTAATGAAGCCAACGTTCCTTGGGAATAGTCACTTGTTTATCCGTATTTTAATCCAGGGAGTGCGGCTTCGCAGTGGAGATCTTGTCAGTGAATTGTTTCCCATATTTGCGATGTATATTAAAGTAAAGTAAACCATCAGGCTGTGTGCCCATCACTACGTCTGGCTGCAGAGGCTCCTGTAGCTCAGACAACGACATGCTGAGTGGCTTAATTACTGAAAAACAGCCATTAGTGCAAAATGAGCAGTTCAACATGTTCACTTTTGTCCGCTTCTTTCACAATAGCCGTTCACTGTCGTTGACCAATAATAAAGGCCCATGGGGGCCAAGTGAGACATGTGGGAGTTGTGAGTGGAGCCCTTACCAACAAAGGCAATTACAGCAGGCCTTTTAAACTAATGGATATGACCAGGCTGCAGTCTCTCCACGCCTCCATCATAACGCTCTCCTTACCCTCCACACACACTGACCTGTGCTCAACACCAGCTGTCAAACCTTGACAACAACCACTGTGAAAATACCTGCAGTGTAACTGCAGTGTCTATCACTGCAGAAGCTGAAACACTGAGCAGTTTGAATGTGGTTCTGTATGTGAGGACCTTGGTGATGGCTCTACATTCAAATGGCCATTTAGGGCAAAGTGTAAAAACGCATAAGCCTCAAATATTATCGTGTTGGCAGCAGTGAAACTTAAAATCATTTTGTTTTTCAGTCTGACTTACTTTCATCTGAGGCCACGCTCTCCTCTGTGTTTTTGATGTAGTCATCCTGGAAAAAAAAGAGAAACATTTAATCATTTATGTTCAGCAACAAAGCAGCAAAAAAAAATTGTTTTCACACTAAACAATTTCCCAGGCGTTAAAGATTAATTCGGAGAAGGATTTATAATGAATACATAATGACCATAAGGTAGATTTCAGACTATTTTTCTTATTTTTACATCTGCCAAAACTACATTTACAGAAATAAGCACGGGCTAATGTTATTTTTTCCCCCAAATAATTCTTCACATTAAGCGTTTAATATCACTTACAAATTGCAATTAGTAGAAGCTACAGGAATCCACTGTTGTAGGATAATAATAATTATATTCTTTTAATTTCCATAATTCATTTTCCCCTTTGGAGATTAAGTTGAATTCATATTTTATTGAGATGTATTTCAGTTTCTGTCCCTCACCTACACCTACTAACAACATAATCCAAGAGTCTGACTTATGCCTCGGAGCCACAATGAGAGACAAATGGAATAGACTGACGCAACAAGACTTTTTTATTACATTTACGGGAGACAGCGACATAACCATGAAAAGCTGTAAGGCAAAGGCATTAACCACCATCCCACTATGTGGCCCCTTTTTTCTTACATACGGCGAACTCGTAATATTTCCACTTCTCTTTACCACCTCTGTGATTGTTTCTGTAAATGGACCTTGTAGCATTAGGTAAACGACCCCAGCACGGCTCTGAAGGCTTTAATGTATCTCATAAAGAAGACTTGCACTAACAGAAACCTCATCTCCTGCACAGACGCGGGGAGGAACATTTGCAAACTAACTCCGGCGGGTAGATTGGATCCCCAGTGGCGCTCCACTGGAACATAAAGAAAATCTGCAGTGCCTTTGCTGTATCTATTTTGACCCATTTATCTCTGTCAGGACCGCGAGGATCAACTATAAAGACGTTACTGCTCGGCACCAGGCCCAGAGAAGGCCCCGAGGATTAAGACTGTGCAGTTTAGCCTGGTCTTATTCTGCTCTGGGGACATGAAGACTTAGATTTCAAGTTCAAGTGAGAAGACAGTGTTTGCCTTTTCTGACATGACCTGATATTTAAATAAACACACAAATTCATTAGAAACGTCACTGATTCTTGCTTTATGCTGCAGTAATTTGCACACAACATACATTGTGTTGTATAGACCTTGAAGGCTTGTTACTTATCAGGCAGTTGTGATAAGGCCCCAAAATGTGTGGAAAAAAAGAGACATTGTTCTGCCCACAACAAAAGAGACACTTACCTCGACTTCCTGTGGCAAACACAAGCAGCGGGGGAGAAAAGAGAGAGAGAGAGAGACATTTTTAGAGGGTAGAAAAATAACTGACGGTTTCATTCAATACAACACACAAACACTGGGTTTGTTTACAGATGCAGAAACCCGCCACCATTCATCCACGCTGATTGCAAATACATGCCTCCGTCTCGCTCATCTCCAAGGAGAACATAAGTTTGGCAGAGAATTACGAGCGCCTATTAACCACGGACGATCAGCCGCCGTTTCAGTGAGCTGGCAGGGGTCCCAGTAAAAGTTCATTCTGTGGTCGTGTTGTGTTGACATGCAGATACCAGACACCACAGGGTAAATAGCTGCAATTATGACCTTCCATATCAGTCTATGGAAGAAATACGGTCAAAACGTCGGGGATCGTCAAAGTCAACAAGCAGATGCGATTTTGATGTTTTTTATCGGCGCAGCAGCAGACATGTAGCTGGCATTTACCAGGCATAGCACGGGCAACGTGGACAGATATGGCTACAGTAAAATACAACCTTGACTTAACAGGGAAGTGACTACTTCCCTTTCATTCCATTTCTCCGTCTTGGCAAAGGACCAAGGGCAGAACGCATCAATACCCAGCACAGCCACTCCCCGTGCACGCCATCATTCAACGCTCTGCTGCGTTTGAGAGAAATATAGCACTGCATGCTTTATTCCAGAAACTCACTCACACACAGTAAATAAACCTAATTCCCATACATTTGGACAACGGCCCTTGAAGCCCTTATTTTATATCTTTAGGCAGAAATGAAATCAGATATAATTTAACAGTTTTTTATCAGTGACAAAAGGCCTGAAAACACCATTTTTTTAGAATGTTTTCTCTCAGTGTTGGTCTGCTCACAATTTAGTTCAAAAAATTGAAAAAATATTAAAATCAATATTTGCTCTGCAGTATTTTTTTTCAAAATCTGCAAAATAGTCCCTCACAATCCATCAAAGACGACTTGTACTGCGTAGTTACTATTCCTTCCCATTTTGATCATTTCATTTCATTTATGATGTCACAGTTGAACCTTTAAAGTGCAGAGAAAGTACGTGCTGAAGTTTTTTTTTTTATGTCTGTTAATATAAATTTCCCCAAAATGTCCCCCCTTTATGTCAAACATATTAGTCTGTAGAATGTCACACACCAGATGTAACAATTACGGAGTTTATCACTGAAACGCTCACACTGCTGCAGGGACCAAAGGGAGCCTTGCAGCGTGTCCTAAAGGATGGAGTGCTTATCTTCTCTCAGCAGCAGTGTGACAGCAAGGACACTGAGGCTGAGGATGCATTTAAGTCCTTCACCAAGGTTGAGAACTAATGCTGTCCCGGTGAATTCCTGCCAGGCTCCACTGTGAGCCCAGACTGACAAGAGAGGGAGGGTGGGAGTTGAAGAGTGAGGGTGGAAAGATCAGGGAGTAAAGGGGTGTGATATTCATGGTGGAGGTCCCGTGAGTCATGTGATTCATATCACACGCCACCTCTTCTGCCGTTTGTCAACAAGGCTGTAATGGAGTCGGTGTAACACGGAGCTCGGAGGCTAATGGAGCTTGACTATCCAGATGCTGAGACTGCTCCTCCCGGACCGCTTGCTGGTATTAGGCTGACAGCATTTGGCCACAAGCCCAACAACGCACTCCTGAGTTAACGTCTATCTCACCCAGACTGAACCCTGTCTGCTGTCGACATAAATACCACTGATAACCCTGAACGACCCAACCCCAATGTCACAAACACACATCGGTCCAGAGAGGGACAGAAACAGAGGGGTTGTACACATCCCAGCTGTGCATGTGAGGAGTCCTTTGACATGCAAATCGTTTCTATTTGCAGTGTAGGTAAACAGTATGCTGCAAGG